GTCAAAAATTTACTTGCCGCGAACTTTGTTACCGATTCACACACGCTCGTAGTACACAAAACTCATATCCAAGGCGAATTTATATAAGGTGGTGTTACTAGCTCAGCTGATTTTGTGTATGTGTTTCGCCGCACGGCTTCTGATATCAAATTGAAAAATTTTGTTTGAATTTCTACACACACTCTTACAGATTTTGACAGTTTATGCCGCCAAAGCAAAAACAAAATACAGGTAAATTTTTGTTTTTGTACTCCTGCTATCACCTTATATTAATTCGCCTTGCTCATATCTGTAATAAGAAAATTTTGAGTAATTTGTTCGGATTTCGAGGATTTTTCATTTGTTTTTGAGGAATTTGGTATCTTTTTTGTGGCAACACAGATTCATTGATACTAATACATGGAAAACCTGCGCATGCGCGAAACGCACATGTGGCTCAAAGCTTTCTCCGTTTGAAGCTGATGCCGCATAAAACTTTTGCTTCGCTTTACGTGACAGATTCGCTTTGACAGATAAGATGAATTGTATGAAAATGCACAAAGCATGCCACATAGATCGTCGAAGCTTCAGCGCGAAGCGAAAAGAAGGCCAATTCCTATATTTTTGTGCGCTTTGACAATCAGCCGGATTAGTACTTATTTCGTTTCGTCTAAATTTGAGTTTTCACGTAGAAACATAAAACTTAATTACATTGCTGATATTTAAAACAAAAACCACATAAAATCCACAGCAATTTTGACGAGTAAAAAAGCAGTACAAAATTGTTTTCTTGGCGTTCATTGTGACATACCTTTTGCGTCTGGGGATTTGCTGGCAAAGTTATAAATGTCACATAAAGCTACGTTCTTTGGTGCTACGTTAAAATTTTTTATTAAATTTTTTGTCACACGCACACAAAAGCATACGCATGCTATAGATATCCGCCTTAAGTTCTTGATCGTGTACCTTCGTAGTTATTATAGCAACCGACAGCTGTTGCACTAGGTTGCCAACTCTTAAAATAAAAAATTAACAAATATGCACCTAATTTTTTAAGAAATCAGGGTACATCAAGGAACGCGCACAAGTTCCAGCCGGCCGATTGAAATAAGAGTTTCTACCAAATAACAAAAACGGTCGCAATATTAAATTAAGTTATAACGCGATGACGTCGATAATAAAACTGCACACAATATCTGGTGCCATGGATGAATCGCCTCCCTGCTATATTCTGCAAATAGACGAAGTGCGGATTCTACTCGACTGTGGGTGGGACGAGAAGTTCGATCCCAATCTTATCAAGGAGTTAAAAAGGTAGTAATCAGGATGGGTATATATAAAACATCAAAAAAAAAGCAATCTTTAATTGTTCACAGACATGTACATACCATCGACGCAGTGCTTTTGTCACATCCAGATGTATACCATTTGGGTGCGCTACCCTATCTCGTTGGAAAACTCAGCATGAATTGNGATATCTGGTGCCATGGATGAATCGCCTCCCTGCTATATTCTGCAAATAGATGAAGTGCGGATTCTACTCGACTGTGGGTGGGACGAGAAGTTCGATCCCAATCTTATCAAGGAGTTAAAAAGGTAGTAATCAGGATGAGTATATATAAAACATCAAAAAAAAAGCAATCTTTAATTGTTCACAGACATGTACATACCATCGACGCAGTGCTTTTGTCACATCCAGATGTCTACCATTTGGGTGCGCTACCCTATCTCGTTGGAAAACTCAGCATGAATT